GTGACGTCATGAGCTACCCACAATGCAACGTGCGCCATATATATATATATAAATACGCCATTTTCATGGAGGTGCAAATATCCTGGAGGTGCAAATATAAACAGCTAGCTAACGCAGAAATCTAACGCAGAAATCGCTGCATGTCTTCGGATTACATCTCTGGACTTGAGGGGTGTGCTCTAGGTCGTTACCAGCGTAAACTAGAGCTATGTGGGTTGTCGGATTGCCCTTACAGACTGCCTGCAGATGTATGGAAAAAACGACCCGCGAAAGTGGCCTTCGTCAATTTTGGCTGCATCTACGTCTAATTTCTGGAAACACCAGGTGAATACCCCACTTGTCACAATAATATTATCATGCCATTGTATATATGGGGTATTTTAGAGTTGACTAGATATTGATTAAGGCAATAGACTATGATATTCTGCTTGCACCTCGTGTGAAATGGCGGATACCGGAAGTACGGTGTCGCCCTCGGCCCAATACCCGTATGTGTGTGTGAAAGAATACAACTCAAAATGTGTCTTCGGGTCAATGCGACTGATTTCGATAGAGCAGGTCATATATTATAAGTGAAAACGTTTCCAATTGTGTGAAACAAATCAGAAATAAGAATATAAATAAAAAAACACAGCCTGAGGTGTGCTCACTGGTGATTGGTGTGTTTCTTGACCAATGACCCCGGCCTTTGATTTGTTGTTATTACTTCAAAAAAATTGCGCACAATTAGCAAGTCAGTGAGACGAAGCTAAGCTCGGACTGTCGGACATAAAGGAATAAAGTAATGGATATACGTAAATGGCTGCAAGGTGCAGCTGCTACACGGCCTCCTCCAACTCCTCCACCGACGGAAAACGAAGGGAATGAACCATAGACTGTATATATAAATGGACGTAGGGTCCGTGACGTCACCCATAAGATTCTGCAGAGTTGCCGTGAAGCCCTTAGTAGGCGGAGTAGGCCACTAACGGCTCGACAGTGACGTCAGAGTTCAACTCCCGCCTTCTCCAGCCTGCTCCAAATAAGGGCAAAGAGGCGGAGCCGAGGCGGGACCTGCTGCCACCGAGCTGGAAGTTCCAGAGCTAGCTGAAGCTACCAAGCTAAGCTAACATGCTCCCCATCTGCACGCTGCCGTCGCATTTTATGTTTCTAAGGTAAGCGGACATGAAACTATTCAGCAAACTATAAATAATAATCTAAGTTATTGAGTTTTTAGCATAATACTTCAGAATCTTAAAACCCCTTAACGTTTGTATGCAATTGTGCTAAATTCAACACTGGAATCAAGCAAATATGAATATGTTTGCATGATATTAGTTATTTATATTTTGATATCACTTAACTATATGTTTAATACATTTAAGTCAAGCTAAGGTACATGTGATGGTAGCTAGTTAGTGCTCTTACCTGTGAGGCCTCCTCCAAACAGCATAATAACCAGACTATCATTAAAACTAAGTACCAGTTCTAGATCCTTGACTTAAGACAAACAATTCAAAAGACAACATGTATTTAAAGACCAATCTTTATTTGAATGTGCCTCTTAACCTGAGATATTAGTTATACAGTAATAGTATTGACAATCTAAAAAAACTGAGCAACTCAATAGTCAACTTTATGTTTCTTATTGTCTAAAGCATTTATTATTTTCATTTTCCCAATCTCATATTCAGTGTGGACGGATTGAGACAGCATGGTGTCCAGAGAGCAGCAGAGACTTCAGGGAGAAACCTCCGTGTGATGGACGTCCTGTCTGTTGGTTTGGAGAGGACTGAGGGTCTTTCCTCTGCGAGGAGGACCAGGCCTGATGGAGGAGGACCAGGCCTGATGAAGGAGCCCATGCTGGGCAAAGCTGATACCAACTGCACAGGCCTAGTCGGTCACGTTATTTGACTAAATGTGTTTAATACATTTAATAGGTTTACACCTTCTGTCCATATGTGCTTTTTATTTAAAACATTTGATTAACTTTTGGTTCACATTTCAATAAATCGTATTTGTATTTGCACTCCTTTTGTCCATTATTCTTACTGAAGATGTTAGATTACACATTCACATCTGACTGAAGATTGGCCCCATTTATTTGTGACGTTGCAAAACAAGGTACATGTTGTGAAGCTCATAAAGTGAGGCAAATATAAATAATCAGCTGATGGAGTGTAGATGTGGAAATAGCTGCATTCGATCAGCTGACTGTTTTTACAATAAAAGTAGTTTCTTAGTGAATGTCCTGTACTGGTCTTAAAATCTCATAACATCAGCTTTTAATGTTCCTCTTGGATGTTCTTCTTGACCCTCAGAGAAGGAGAACATGTTGTGTCTTTCAGGCATGTCCTTTCCTAACAAAAATGACAGGAAACATAAAACATATTATTGCAGAACAAGTGTGTTATTTATGAAAGCAGTGTGTTTGTGTGTTTAGGGCAGGGGTGCCCAACCAGTCGATCGCGGGGAGATTCCCAGTCGATCGCGAGATGTGTCTAAAAATAGAACAACAATATTCTGTTTTATCGTTAATGTCCTATAACATAATCTTCCTGTGCCAGAATAATGCACTTGAACGCATCAAAGCTTTGTGATTGGCCGGCGTGACCCCATGTGTCGGGGCGTGGCTAGTGGGCAGTGCACTAATTCGATAACGTTGTCCGTGTCAACAGGAGTGACAGTCCGCACACAAACAAGACCGCAATTATGGCAGAAGCAAAACATATATAATTTTCACTCCGAGTGGGAGGATGATTATTTTTGTATCTATTCCAATTCAAAGTCCATCTGTCTCATCTGCAATGCGAGCGTGGCTTTATCGAAGAAGGGTAATTTAGGAGCGGCATTTCAAAACAGTGCACAAACGCTACGAGACGGAATTCCCTCCTAATTCTGCCCTACGCTCCCAAAAGGGGAGGGGCCTGAAAGGACAGCTAAATGCACAGCAGTCCATTTTCATCAGGCCCAACAACAAGAGCAAGGCTGCTACCATAGCATCTTATCGTGTCAGTCACGTTCTTGAGAAACACATGAAGTCTTTCAAAGACGGCGAAGTTGTGAAAGAAGCTTTCCTGGAGGCTGCCGACGCGCTTTTGGGGGATAGTAAAAATAACAGTAGCATTTCAACAGGTTTTTGATATAATAAAAACTCAAGTTAGATACCGTTATTAATCAGCTGTAAGTTTTAGTTTGTTTGAACTTATTCATTATAACTATTGTACAAAATTGTATAAGAATGCAAATAGGGGGACGTAGGAGCAGCGACATGTGAGGATGCAGTTTTCTGAGCTCTGCTTGGAAGGAACATTTCAAAAGTTATTTTCGCCTCTTTTCTCGTTCCCGTGGGGCAAATGTGTCTCTAAAGTGCTCAGCTATCTAAAAGTGACCGTGTTTTGATTTGGTTGTACATAAAACTCGCAGAGGAGTCAAAGACCGACACCATGCCCAAACGCCGCGGACTCGCCTGAGGAAGACGAGGCCGGGTTGGCGGAGCCGCTGTCGGATACACAAGCAATCATGGCCGCCCTAAAGCGGACTGAGCAGTGTGTGCTAACTAAGATCGACTCAACAGTGACGGCGGCTGTAGGTGAATTGAACACCAAAATAGACAACCTGTCGAGGGACTTAAGATCAGAAATCTTCAATGTGCGCACAGAGTTTACTAAGGTTGTTGAAGATGTTAGGAAGGAGAACGTAACTTTCGTAACGCGCATTGAAGGCCTTGAGGAGGGGGCTAATTGTTATGCTAACCGGGTAGTGCAACTCGAGGCTAAAGTTACTACGCTGTCCTCACAAGTAAACAAGTTGGTGGACAAAACCGAAGATCTAGAGTCTCGACAACGGAGAGATAATTGTGTGTATCCAGCCACACTTAAAATCACAACCTCAGCTGGAGAGCAAAAGTCATTTGAAGACCCAACCAAGGCAAAGCACTACATTGAGACGGATTTGCACCCGCGGGACCCGGAGGGAGAGTGATAATCAATATTGGGGCAATGACAGGTACTGTTGGAGCTGCAGGATAATGTCACAGCCTGTGTCACAATGACTACATTTTTGACTGTTAATTACACTACAGTTGGTTGCACTTTATGTGTGGACTATGGACAATGAGTCAGGGAAATTACAACAATGCAGATTTTCTCAAGTTATAGCTGTTTATATCTCCCAACTGTAGGTGTTTAAGGCTGTTTTAAGTTATGACCACATAAGTGCAGCAATGTGGGTGCTATGAGAAGGGCCATGTTTCATTTAAATTCATATTGTTCTGCCCTTGCACAGTTCAGTCGAGTGTTTAGGTTAGTCTTGACGTGTTATACGCCTAAGAGTAGGACGAGTGTTTGTAGGGCAGTCTCAGGCTTTAAGAAGACCAGCCCGGGGATCCAGGATGGTAAGAGTTTATTTTTTGTTACTTTCTTAACTTTTGTCTGTTTTATGGTACTTTTTTGTTTTTCTATTGTTTCATGCCTTAACCCAAGATTGCACATATGTGTTCAGATTTTGCCAACTTTCAAGTCCAGACCATGTATCCAGTGGCAGAGTTATGGCTCCTGATGCTGTAGTGTAGATAACCCAGATAGCAAAAGATATTAATTCAACATTGGATTTTGGTTAGATTGGTTATTTTTGGTTGAGGTTGAAAAATCAATGTTGATTCGATGTGTTTTTACAAATACCATTTCAACGTTTGAAAAAATGTTGTTGAATCAATGTAATATAGATGCCGGTTTTTCAACGTTGAAATTCCCTACATTGAATTGACATTGTTTCAACGTGTGGCGCTATCCCCTCTCGGGCGAGATCCTGACCCAGCGTCGGAGGCGGGGTCTGGTTCTTTCCTATGAGAGCTGCTGTGCATGAAGACAAAATGGCCCAAGTTTTGAGAGAGCGAAACGTCACAGATTACCCGTCATGCCTGTTGCACATTGCACTTAATCTTGAAAGCACGTTGGTCACGTGAAAGAGCGTACACCCGGTGTGGAGGAAGGCAGGCAGTTCAGTTGCCGCCAAGCCGCCTGAAGAGAAGAGACAGATATCACAAATCGGTAAGAAATGTAACGTGACCGTTGTGCATGCCTACTCTATATGTTCACCTCAGTTACACCCTGTTATGTTTTTTTAGGCTATTCAGAGCGCAAAAGTGGGAACTAATTACTTATAATAATATATATCATCAACGAATTTAACGTCGTTCATCCCATGACGCAGTTGATATTTTATTGCCCTGACTAGCACCTAGCTAACGCAGCGCTAGCTAACATAATCTGACATTAAACTCTACCATCCTACAGAAATTACATAAAGTGTCCACTGATGCAGTCAAGCTAAAGCATTATTTAGGATATTTGGGTGAAATTGTGCATATTTTTTGTTATAATATAGCCTATATCATAAATTAATTAAACAGTTCATCGCATGACGCAGTTGATATTTTATTGCCCTGACTAGCACCTAGCTAACGCAGCGCTAGCTAACATAATCTGACATTAAACTCTACCATCCTACAGAAATTACATAAAGTGTCCACTGATGCAGTCAAGCTAAAGCATTATTTAGGATATTTGGGTGAAATTGTGCATATTTTTTGTTATAATATAGCCTATATCATAAATTAATTAAACAGTTCATCGCATGACGCAGTTGATATTTTCTTGCCCTGGCTAGCACCTAGCTAACGCAGCAGATACACTAGCTAACACAATCTGACATTAAACTCTACCATCCTACTAGGGATGCCAGCGATTAATCTATTATTCGTTACAGTCTCCATAATCGAAGATTATTTTTAAAATTCGATTTTATTTATATATTTTTTTATTATTTATGTTTTTTTGTTTTTTTTCTGGCTTAGTTTCAACCAAAATATAGACTAATAATAGTAATAGTATTAATAATTGTAAATGGCCATTGGTCACAACACCAGTTTTGACTGTAAAACTTGGAGGAAGCCAGCAGCGCAGGCTGACTGCTGCTGCAGCTTGCTACACACCGACCCCGCCGATTTTGATCATGGTCAGTTTCTGGCATCCCTACATCCTACAGAAATTACATCAAAGTTGGTCTGATACAGTCAAGCTAAAGCATCATATAGGATATTTGGGTAAAATGTATGTCCTAGGGGTCCTGGACTCCTGGTTGAAGACCCATGGAAGAAAACGTGTAATTCTAGGGAATTTCGTCAGTACAGTTATATTTGCATTGCACCAGGAGGCTGATATATATTTGTACTGTTAGTTTATGCATACTGATTTTTAATCTGCTTTGTTTTCCTCCATTTTCAGGATTATACTACAAGACGAGTCAAGGGGATCACTGCAATACACAAGGCCAAGTAAAGTAATTATAGCAGTGCCACCTCTCTTTACCTAAGATGGCTTCTTATTGGTCTAAAAGACGTAGAGTCATCAGAACTGTAAGGGACATGGAGAAAGATATCCTTAAGGAATACGAGGAAACTCTTTATAATAACAAGTCACATTTAGACCCCTGTGTGAATAGGGAACCACCCTTCAGAATCTCACACGTTTCCCAACTAGATACACCACTAGCTTCCCATGTACACATGGAAAATGATCATACTGATGGTAGTTTAGCTGGAGATGATGAAGTTGAATCAGATCATGTACAAATGGGAAATGATCATACTGATGGTAGTGTGGCTGGGAATGTTGAATCAGATTCTGACTCCGACAGCCATGACGAGCATCAGCCTAGTCAGGATCTGCTTATGAGGAGCCTAAGATATTGGGCAACATCCTACTCAATCAATCTGGTTGCTTTGTCTGCTCTGCTGTCCATCTTAAAGCTTTTTCACCCTATGCTCCCTAAGGATGGAAGAACTCTGCTTAGAACACAACATGATGTTGCAACCACTCAAATGCAAGGTGGCGAGTACTACCATTTTGGATTGGTGCAAGGGATACTTTCACGATTGAAATGTTTGAGTTTACCAGTGAGCCTCAGAACTCTTACTTTACAGTTCAACATAGATGGTCTCCCTCTCTTTAAGAGTTCAAGACTTCAATTCTGGCCTATACTTGCAATTCTGAAATGTGATTATACTAAGTCCCCATTTATTGTCGGTATCTTTTGTGGTTTAAGCAAGCCCAAGTGTGTTGTTGAGTATCTGCAGCAATTTATTAGCGACCTTAAAAATGTACTGGCTAATGGCGTTGTTCATAATGGTAACCGATTGAAAGTACTGGTTTCCTCATTTGTGTGTGATGCTCCAGCCAGAGCCTACGTTAAGAATATCAAGTCACATAATGGCTATTCAGGGTGTGACAAGTGTGATCAACATGGTGTGTGGAGGAAGAAAATGACTTATCCTGAAACAAATGTCAGGCTCAGGACAGACTCAAGTTATTGTGATATGATTGATGAAGAACATCACTTGAAACAGACACTCAGTCCTTTAACAGGGACAGTAAAGATGGTTTCTTCATTCCCAATAGATTATATGCACCTCTGTTGTCTTGGTGTGATGAGAAAACTGTTGAATATGTGGTTAAAGGGCAATCTAGCCACTAGGCTTCCTTCACAAACTGTTAACAGTATATCAAGCAAACTGCTGGGGTTACATTCCCACACCCCTTGTGAATTCAATCGCAAGCCAAGGGGTTTGAATGAGCTGGATCGTTGGAAAGCTACAGAGCTCCGATCCTTCATACTGTACTGGGGCCCTGTAGTTCTGAAGGATTGCCTTCCCAGTGAGATTTATGACAACTTTATGTTGTTTTCAGTGGCCATGTATTTGTTTTTGTCTCCTGGAATTTCTGGCCAAAAGGTTGAATTAGCGCATAGATTGATGATTTCCTTTGTGGAACACTTTGGACAGTTGTATGGCAGGGATCAGATTGTGTTCAGTGTACACCAGCTTATACATTTAGCCGATGAATACAAACAATTTGGACCTTTAGATAATGTTTCAGGATTCCCTTTTGAGAATTATCTTGGCCAAATAAAGCATCTTTTACGCAAGCCACACCAACCTCTACAACAGGTGGTCAAAAGGTTGTCAGAACAGCCACGTTGTGAGGTTCCATTACCAACAGATGAACCAGTCTTACAGAAAATCCACACTGATGGTCCACTCCCTCAACATTTCGGTGTTGCTGTACAGTACACAAAGGTCTCCAGTAGTCGTTTTACCTTGTCTACAAAGCAGGGGGATAATTGTATTGAGGTGGGACATAGTATTGCAGTAGTGCAGAATATAGTCCAGGAAGAAGATGAGGTATATGTGATCTACAAAAGGTTCAGACACCAAGAATCATATTACACTTATCCCTGCGAGTCCTCATGCATAGGTACATACAAGGTTAGAGAGTTGTGTGACAATATCGGGGTTGGTAAACTTGGATGTATCAAACGTAAATGTGTTCTGTATCCAGAGTCAGAAGGAAATGGCCTCATAGCTATTCCAATAGCTCATATGCAGTAGCATACCGCTCATACTGCTGGGCGAGTAAATGACATCTTATGATTTATGAGCAGGTTTTTTTTTTAATCATTTACATTATTTCCTTTATTGTATACAGAATGGAAAGGGAGGTGGTGCTTTGGGCCGTTGTACTTTTTCCAAATGGCGGAGCTGCAACAGTTCTTGCCAGCTGGTTCAGTCTAAAGGAAGGTAAATTGTTATGGCCCCCAAAAAACATGTATTTGAAGGCCCTTAAAGAACACATGACGGCCCATAAAGGATGGACCACATATGCGAATGTCCGGCTCTTGATTACTTGTGGTAAGTAGTCACTGCATTACTATTGTCTATTTTCAAGTATATAGGTATCCACACGTTTTATGGATGGCAGTTTGAATGTGTGTGGTGCCATACCACATATGACATATGTGTCACAAGTGAGACTAGTCAGTAAAATGTCATCCTATTATTTTATGCTTTTTCTTTTACAGACTCATTGGAAAAGGCCAAACGATACGAAGAAAAGTATGTGACTACTGGATGTCCAACCACTGATCTGAGCTCTGAGGACGAAGCAGGTGAACGTGGGAAAAGAAGAGTAAGGTACAGTTGAATTCCTGTAGGAGGTCAGGTTCCATGTCTGGCCTGACTTTAACCCTTATCAAACAACGTCGCATTGATAAGAACCAGTATGCGTGCATAGGCAGGAACCAAAAGAACCCAACCGCTCATAAGATGCAATGGAAAAGTGGTCACAGCACTCCCAGTGTGGAGGAAGCAGGCTTAGGATGTTTACTTTGATCGCTCCCTCTTGAAATATATAATCCTTGGTTTCTGTGTAAACAATAAGTAAAAACCCCACCTCCAGTCCTGTGATAGACTAGTGTCATCTCTGTGTACCTGTACGTCAAGCGGCCTCATTCTACAGAAATGGGCCATGGGGCAAATTAGTTCAATTAATGGGAATGTTGAATGTTTCATTTTTATTTTCCAGACCAAATCCTGTGTACATGGAGTCAGATGGGGAGTCAGAAACCAGCTGTGTGAAGAGAAGATTTGCCAAGCCACCTGATGTTCATTGTCCTACAGTGCTCCCAGAATCCAGCCAGTACCCCTCAGGACCAACCCCAAATGCAAGCAGTGGTATGTCATTACTTATTAAAATGGCAGGAACAATATGTAATTGCATGTGAGCTTTAATTTACAAGCATTTAGTTCCTCCAACAATACATTCAAACATCAGTCATGTGATATGTGTTCAAAAGTTACAGCATCCATTATTCCTGTCTTTTGTTCCCTTTTAGCCTCTGGAGGAAGCCACTCGGAGGATGTTCTGTCAATTCACCAGGCTGACAATGGTAAGTGAACCACTTCACACTAGGGATCGACCGATATGGCTTTTTCAAGGCCGATACCGATTATTAGTAATCAACGAGACCGATAACCGATATTTGGAACCGATATACATTTGCAGTAAAATCAGAAAATCTTGGTCTCAAAATGTAGAAGAACACAAACTCCAACACAACTTCTTTGAAATGCCTTTTTATGTTTGCTGAACTTTTCAACATCTTAAAACTGGTTTCCTCTGTGACCCTGAGTAAAGTCAATGAAATGGAAATAAAATGAAAACTACTAAAACTTGTTCTGAACTTCTGATATTTGAGTCTCACTCATTTAGTAGTCCCAATTCAGCAGCACCAGATTGTGGTGCAGAAAGCAGAGTTGCTGCGAGGCTCCACTAGCAATCCCCCCCCTCACAGTTTATCCGCTGCGAGACGCTACCCTGTGTAACTGGGAAACTGATAGAATTGGATCGGGACATTGCTTGTGTACAGAGTGGTGACTGCAACCAGAGAAACGGCCGCATCAGATCCAAAGTTTTATCGGCAATTTGATTTAAAAAAAAAAAAAAAAAAAAGGCCGATAGCGATAATCTGTAAAATGCGGAATATCGGTCTGGATAATCGGTCGACCCCTACTTCACACTACTACCTCCGGGCGGACAGTATGTAAATGTGCTTTGTCCGAGTTACAGCATTCATAGTTCATGTTGTGTGTTCTCTCATTGTAGGCTTTTGTGGAAGCTATTTGGCGGAGTTGGACCAGTCAATGGACCACTGTAATGATGGTAAGAAAACTAATGGTGTAAAAGTCAGGCACATTCATGTGGCTGCCGATGACAATTTATTCAGGACACCGGAAATATGACCCAATGTTTCAGTCTCTCCGAAACGTTGGTCATATTTTCTGTATCCTGAATAAATTGTCATCGGCAGCCACTTGAGTGCACCCCTCGTTATTAAGTAGACTAATAGACTATTATGTCTTTTATCTTTGGATCACAGGAATTATCAGCACCTTAGGTGGGAAACTATTCTTTAATTACTCACTCTGTAGCCAAGTGTGTTCATCCCTCAGGTCTCCTTTATCTAAAGTTGGAAAGTAACTATATGGGGCTAGCTAGGTGCAATTGCTATATGGTGCTCATGGATAACAACTTTAATAGTGCTCATTTGCCTTATTTAGTTATTTCTCTCTTTTTCTAGGATTGCCAACATATAACTCCAGCCCCTACCACGCTATGCCATTAGAGAAAGCAAGGAATGGTATGTATTTCTCATCTTAAATGTTGTTTTTTTTTGGAAAATTCCCAAATTCATGTTCAATATAAAGAATGAATAGCAGCTCAGTGGCCTCGTGGTTAGTGTCCGCCCTGAGATTGGGAGGTTGTGAGTTTGATCGCCGACCGAGTCATACCAATGACTGTTAAAAATGGTACCCGATATCTCCCTGCTTGGCACTCAGTATCAAGGGTTGGATTGGGTTAAGTCCCTGCGACATACTAGCATCATGTCCAGGGGGTGTACTTGTACATCATGCTGCGGAAACAGGATATCGGCTCCTATGGGCCAATGGTTCTCATGGCTTACTTATAAACAATTAATAATGGTGTCTTGTCTTTTAGACGGCGGTGCCAGCTATGCACATGGCTCAAGATTAGCTGACTTCAGCGCACTGGGCTTGGCTCACCTGACCCCGCAGCACCCATCCCACCCCCTTCAGCTCCAGAAAACACCACGGGGGAGATTATATGGAGAGGAATCAAGCAGAGTGTTGAAAGGCAAGTATCATTTTCTGAGCAGGTTCTTAACCGTACTGATGCCTTCTGAATTGAGAAACCTATCCCTTGTGACTTTCCCATCTTTTCATGTTTTTTGTCATGGTGTTAAGGCTTAAAATGTAAGCACTTAAACCTGCACTATGTAACCTTTTTGTGATTACAATGTTATTTTGTCCAATCTGTATGGTAGTGTTAATACAATATAACTTAAAATTGGGGTGGTTGATTTTGGTCTCCCTGCTCTTCTATTGAGACATTTAGATCCTTTATCTAGGTGAGACATGACCTTGGTTTGACAAAAATTATGACTTTATGGTCAATGTCTCCCCCGAGCAAGCAGGCAGGCTCTATAAACTCAGTGGTACATATTTCAGCAGTTGTGCTGGAGACCTGTGTTCAAATCCAGGGTAAATAGGAAAGTTACATAGTGCAGCTTTAATGGTTACTGTTGGCAAACACTTATCAGTGAGTTACTTAGTGTCATTCTAAATTATTGGAAATTAAAAATCTATCCTTGAAATGTAAATTAAAACCTTTATTTTTTTAATTTTCAAGACATTGCTGCCATGAGAACCACGAAGATGCTTACCGAGCTATGTATGGAGGTGAAGCAGATCTCACGTGACATTAACTTTATAAAGACGGAACTTGCTAAACTAAACATTCATGGAGCTGGACCAGAGTCACAAGAAGACAACTTCCCCATAATGCTTCCACTCACCAACGAGGAGAAGTTTGATGAGACTGAAGCTGCTTTGAGGGAGGAAGCAGTCCGTCGAAAGATGGTGAACAATTTTTACACAAAGCATTTTCTCTATAATCTGTCGAGGCTTCTAATATTTTCTGTATGCATTTGCAGGTATCCTGTGGATCCTTATAAGTTTTAAAAGTCTTACATTTCTTGTTTGAAATCTTAAGGGCTTATGTCTGGAATTGTAGGAGTGGATGCATTACATTTCTTTTTCACTTGGATGTGTGTTTGACAGAAATATTGTAAAAATACGCCTCGCGAATCACGATAATATTTTTCTTAATCAATATTTGACCATTTCTTAGGATTGCCAATTTGGTTGTTGGCATTGTTTGTCGATTAGTTTGGACACAGTAGTGGTCTTATTTCTTCCTTAGAGGTAATACAAATGTGTTCAAATTCATTACATTTGTATTTATTTATAAATGAGAAGATGTCTATTTACATAGTACACTGTAGCACACTAATCATTTTCTCTCGTCTGTTAAGATTACCCGCCTGGCATTAGTCGGAGGGACCAACTCGGAAAATATGATCCGGCGAATGCTATCCGCTGCCATGACAAACAGTTTAGCCTGCATCTTCAACTGGGTGGGAAAGGGAGAGAAGAGGGCCTTCAAGGACACGCTGATAAAGGACTGCATGTTTGGTGAGCCTGCACCTCAAAATACTAGGTTTACTACTTTACAACAGATTTGGCAAATATTGAATTTAATTCATAAGTCTTTTACATTTCTTTCTCAAGTTGATAAGAATGGATGCAAAATGCATCCATTCTTATCCTTATCTTCATATAAGTGGTCCTCATTAATGCTCATAATAGGATGGCAGCATTTCTGTCTACTCGCTCTGCATCTCAAAGGTGGGCTGTGGACATTTCAGAAACCTGCCTACCAGTGACATTATTCCTAGCTAATTGGAAATGACCATTGATGATGTCACTGATGGGCACGTTTCTGAACTGTCCACTACCGTCCTCTGAGACACAGAGCGAGTAGACAGAAATGAGTAATAGTGTGAATCAATTATATGAAGATGTGGTTGATGGGTGAATTGCTCAATTAAGGCCGCCTGAAAACCTAGTACACTAAACAGTACACACTGGAACGCATCCATTGCAGCTTTCTTCTTCTTATTATTTCAATAAACAAAAAATGTAACTTCTTTTTTTTCAGCTGCTGCTCGTCAATTTGACCGCAGGCTGACGGAATTGACATTCAGGGTTGGAGTGCAGAAGTGGCTACGTTACGCACCGGAGAGGAATGGCGGTGTACCAAGGAAAAAATAGTTAAACGGACATTGTTTAAAGTTGGGGTGTTTTCGTTCATGTTGAACTGGGGTCTTATAGATCTGAGTTTATAGTTAAGACTGCCTTTCCACCGAGTATGACAACCCTGTTTGCAGTTGCCAGGTTTTTATGTCATCTGGAGTTTCAGAGCAAATATAATTTGAACTACAGTTGATGGCCAGATCATTGTCTCTAAGGAGCTTCCTCCACTTAAAGGTCCCATGTCATGCTTTCCCGGTTATTACCCGTCCCCTTGTTGTTATGTAGCTTTTTCTGCATGTAAATGGTCTGCAGAGTCAGAAACCCTCAAAGTGCACCCTGTAGCGAGTAAAACTCTAACACAGAAAAGACCTGTCTGTGCTGCCCCAGAACTTCTTCCTGAGTAAAGTGACGTAACGGGCATAGTGGCGTAACACACACACTCTCACTCAGCCTTATCTTTTCTCAGCTGCGGCTCCGTGGATTTACACACACAGCCTGGCTGTGAGTGTGTGTCTGTGTGCTCAGGCTGAGTTCCTGTGTCTCGCTGATGTACAGCTGTAACGGTGGTGAACCTCAGTGATTATGTGTTACAATGGTGTTAGCAACCAGAAAATGACACCAGTAATGACAAACTGATGAGAATGCTGCGTGGGGTCTGGGTACCGTGTTGGCGGGATGTTGCGGGGCTCGCTGCTCGGCTCGAGGAGCAGACAGTGTGAGCTGGATTACTGGTGTTGTTTCCTGGTTGCTGCGTGAAGTCTGTGAGACAGCGAGACACAGAGGAACTCAGCCTGAGCACACAGACACACACTCACAGCCACGGATGAGAAAAGATAAGGCTGAGTGAGAGTGTGTGTGTCACACCACTATGCCCGTTACGTCACTTTACTGAGGAAGAAGTTCTGGGGCAGCACAGACAGGTCTTCTCTGTTAGTTTTACTCGCTACAGGGTGTACTTTGAGGGTTTGTGACTCTGCAGACCGTTTACATGCAGAAAAAGCTACATAACACAAGGGGACGGGTGATAACCAGGAAAGCATGACATGGGACCTTAAGAGACAATGTTTTTCGTGCTTGTGGACAAAAGATGTTAAAGATGTTCATATCATTGAATCTGAATAAATAACTGAATAAGTAATGGGCTCTTTTTTTGTTTGTTCATTTTAGTTTATTTTCAATGTCTGACATCAATTGCAATCTTCAGCATGACAATATCTCAATGTTGATTCAATGACTTTTTGCAATCTGATAATAACATTGTTTCAATGTATAATGCAATGCATAATATAGTTGAATCAATGTTGATCCAATTCTACATTCTTTCAATGTTGATCATATCGTAATTGAATCAAGGTTGATTCATTGTTGGGATTGGTTGAAAATTCAATGTTGTTTCAATGTTGATCATAACGTAATTGAATCAAGGTTGATTCAATGTTGGGATTGGTTGAAAATTCAATGTTGTTTCAATGCTGATCATAACGAGCACATTCACTATTGTTTCAATGTCTGACTTCAATGTTGAACACAATCTTCAGCGTGACCATATCTCAATGTTGATTCAATGACTTTTTGCTATCTGGGAAACAACAAGGTGCACTCTCTTTCATCAGCTGGAATGTCAAAGGCCTAAATAATATGGTTAAACAGAGTAAAATATTTGCCCATTTAAAATCATTGAAGCCTGATGTGATGTTTCTGCAGGAAACACATCTGAATATTAACTCCCAAAAGAGACTAAGATGCAGTTGGATTGGACAAGTGTATCACTTGCGTTTTGATTACAAAACCAGGGGCAGAGCAATTTTAATTAGAAAGGCGATACCTTTTGAACTCTCTGAAATAGTATCTGATCCCAATGGTAGATATATTGTTGCAGTTGGCAGGTTGTTTAATACTCCTTTAATATTGGCTAACATCTATGGACCGAATTGGGATGACTCAAAGTTTTTCATAAACTTCTTCTCAGCCCTCCCTGACCTCAATACCTATAAATTGGTATTGGGTGGTGATTTTAACTGCGTTCTCCATGCCCGCCTTGACAGATCCAACCCTAGACCTGATAGTACCCTGTCAACATCTGCGATAGCTATAAACTCCTTCATGCGCTCCTGTGGCCTATCCGACCCGTGGCGGACAAAACATCCTAATACTAAACAATTTTCGTTTTTCTCCCCTGTCCACCATAGCTATTCCAGGATTGATTATTTCATTGTAGATGACCAATTACTTCCCTTAATCCCCAGGAGCCAGTACCACAGCATTGTGTTATCAGACCAGTACAAATGGATATGATGTTTCCTGGTAATATAGCACCCCAACGCACCTGGCGTCTAGACCCCCATTTGCTTTCATATGAACACTTTAAAACTTACCTCAGTGGCCAGATTGACTTTTTTCTAGAAATTAATGACACCAGGGATATTTCGAGGAGTGTTCTATGGGAATCCCTAAAAGCTTACATCAGGGGACAGGCTATTTCATACACTGCACATAAAAATAAAGAGCGATCTAAGAAACTTAAAGAACTGACACACAGCATTGCAGATGTTGATAGACGGTATGCTCTCTTGCCCACGGCAGATCGTTTTAAAGAAAAAATACTGCTTCAATCTGAATTTAACACACTTTCGACGTGGAGAGCTGAAAAACATATTTTAAAAACTAAACAGGTTTACTATGAACATGGGGACAGAGCAGGGAGACTCCTCGCACTTCAGCTCAAGCAGCAGGCGGCTGGACAAACGATCCCAAGGATCAATACAGGTGCCGATTCGACTTCGCATAATCCCCAAATAATTAATGACCAGTTTAAGCAATACTATTCTACTTTATATCAATCAGAGGTAGATGTTAACTCGTCTGAAATTCAGTCGTTTCTGGATTCCTTACATATTCCAAAACTCTCACCAGACTCCCAGTGCTCCTTAGAGCAGCCATTAACGGTTGGAGAAATAGAAGGCGCAATCAGACTGTCTAGTACAGGGAAGGCACCAGGTCCGGATGGGTTTCCCATCGAGTTTTATAAGGAATATTCCTCAAAACTTGTGCCGGTTTTAAAATCGGTTTATGAAGAATCACTGGTTAATGGTAAATTTCCACCAACACTCTCTCAAGCGACAATTTCAGTGATATTGAAAAAAGACAAGGATCCCTCACAGTGTAGTTCCTATAGACCAATCAGCCTTCTTTGCTGTGATTATAAAATATTAACTAAAGTCCTTGCGCAGCGATTAGAAGCCTTTATTCCTACCATTATTGATAAAGACCAAACAGGTTTCATCTCTGGGCGACATTCATTTTTTAATGTACGGCGGTTATTTAATTTATTATTGTCCCCTAAATCCACAGTACGGTCTGAAATTATCCTGAGCCTTGATGCTGAAAAGGCGTTTGATAGGATTGAGTGGAACTATCTTTTTGCTGCCTTGGAAACATTTGGACTGGGACCTGTTTTTTGTAAATGGATTAAGACAATATACTCAGCTCCTACAGCCGCTGTTAGAACAAACAGTCTTATTTCCGAATATTTTATGCTCTACAGAGAAACAAGGCAGGGATGCTGCCTGTCACCCTATTTATTCGACATTGCAATTGAACCCTTAGCAATTGCTATCAGAACGGACAATAGAATTAAGGGCGTTTCCAGGGGCAACACAGTGCATAAAACATCTCTATATGCGGATGACCTGCTCTTGCAAATGTCAGACCCAATAGAAAGCATGCCATGTGTTCTCTCCTTGCTGAAGACATTTGGGAACATATCAGGTTACAAAATTAACTTGTCAAAATCTTTACTGTTTCCTCTCAATGACTTGGCAAGGCTGGAGGATTATGGTCATCTGCCCTTTAGGATTGAAAATGAAAAATGTACTTACTTGGGTATTGAGATAGCAGGCTCGGTAAAGGATATTTTTAAGTACAATTATAAATCTATCCTGGAACGCACCAAGAATGATCTAGATAGGTGGTCGAAGCTGCCTGTCACACTAGCAGGGCGGATAAATACTGTGAAAATGACAATATTGCCCAGATATTTGTACCTGTTTCAGATGATTCCGATTTTCATCCCAAAATCCTTTTTTGCCCAACTAGACAGCATTATCTCTGCATTTATATGGAATAAGAAGCCTGCACGCACAAAGAAGGCAAATCTGGAGAGGGTCAAATCTGAAGGTGGTTTGGGTCTACCTAATTTCCTATTTTATTACTGGGCAGCTAACATTGCTAAACTCACATACTGGATTACCACATTTGCAGACAAGGAGGGCCCAATATGGGCTACAATGGAGTTGGAGTCCACACTCCCAGTTTCCCCAATCTCATTTTTAACTGCCCCCCTTCCATTGAATGTTAAAGTAAGTGAGTTTAACTCAAACTTAGTGGTCCAAAACTCAATTAAGATCTGGGGTCAATTTAGGAAACATATGAATCTGAAAAGCATATGCAGTTTCTCGCCAATAATGTCTAATCACCTTTTTACACCATCCCGTTTGGACATGGCATTTGCTGTTTGGCATAGAAGTGGCCTGGTCTATTTTCAAGATATTTTTAGTGATGGCAGTTTTGCATCCTTTACACACTTGTGTAGGGATCACAACATACCAAAATCTCACTTTTTTAGATACCTCCAGGCTCTGTCTTTTGCGTCTAAACATTTTCCAGGATATCCATGTCCACCCTCTAAAGATCTAGCTCACTCGGTTCTTAATGTGAATCCATTTAATAAAGGGGCTGTGTCCAAAATATATACATTGATTCTGAATAACTGCCCTCCCACATGGGACAAAACTAAAAAAGCATGGGAAGGAGATATTGGTGATTCTATTTCAGAGGAAGCCTGGGAAAACATTGTTTCACGTATACACACCTCTTCTTTCTGTATTAGACATGGATTAATCCAATTTAAGGTGGTACACCGGCTACATTACTCCAACGACAGACTAGCTAAGATCTTTCCCAGTGTCGCTCCAACCTGTCCCAGGTGTCATTATTCTCCTGTTTCCCTGGGCCATATGTTCTGGTCATGTCCGTCATCAAGCAGTTTCTGGGCTTCTGTGTTTCGGTCACTCTCTGCAATATCTGGCAGGATACTATCGCCTAATCCTCAAACAGCTATTTTTGGAACTGTTAATACTGGACTAGGGTTCTCCTCCCTCCACAAAAATGCGATTGCCTATGCGTCGTTGCATGCCCGCCGTCTCATACTGCTGAATTGGAAAGGAAAAAATCCCCCTTCCTATATTCACTGGATCAGGGAAGTAATGCTTGGGCTAGACTTGGAAAAATTGAGATATGCAGTGCGCGGT